TGGGCAAGAAAGACTCAACTTCGGGAAGAAAAATCAATTTAATTAGTTACCAACCAAATCAGAGGAGGACCATGAGACACAAAACCAAAACAGATCTTAAAAACCTTCCCCCTACCCCTCCTTTCTTCTCAGGCTCAGCTTTGCTCCTATTTTCTACACTTCCTCCCCTCCACTGGCACATGGGGACAGGGAATGGGGGTTGTGGTCAGTCCATCACACGTTGTCTCTGCTGCTTCTTCCTCCTCAGGAGAAGGACTTCTCACACTCTTCCCCTGCTCCAGCATAGGGTCCCTTCCACAGGAAACAGTCCCCCATGAATTTCTCCAGTGTGAGTCCTTTCCACCAGCTGCAGTTCTTCATGAACTGCTCCAGCGTGGGTCCCTTCCACGGGGTGCAGTCCTTCAGGAGCAGCCTGCTCCAGCATGGGCTTTGCACAGAGTCACAGGCTTCTTCGGGTGCAGCTGCCTGCTCCAGTGTAGGGTCCCCCGTGGGCTGCAGGGGGGTCTCTGCTCCTCCCTGACCCCCCACGGCTGCAGGGGCACAGCCTACCCTCTCACCACGGGCTGCAGGGGAACTCTGCTCCAGCCCCCCTCCTCTGCTCTGTTCTTCCATGGCCTCAGTATCTTCCATGCTTGTCTCTCTTGCAACCAACTCCTCTCTTCACACTGCTTCCCCTTCCACTGCTGCTTCTCTTTTTTGGTTACCTTTTTGCCCTCTTAAATACATCAATCACAGGTGCACTGACTGGCTTGGCCGTGGCCAGAGGCAGGTCCGCCTGGGAGCTGAAGGAGCTTCTAGCAGCTTCTCACAGGAGCCACCCCTGTGGCCCCTCCCCCACTAACAAAACCCTGCTACACAAACCAACGCAATAGTATGGAAATGTATTTTATGATATAACTGAGGTTCTGGAGTAATTGAAGATGAAATAAAAGTTCTCTCTAACTTGAAAGTGGAAATTCTTACAACAACTTATACATGTATTAAACTACTAAATTCTTGTAACCATACCTGCTTTCTGTCCCTTCCTCCCTGCCCTAACTAGCTGTTATTAATGGCACAGCTATATATTATGGTAATTTTCTAGCATTTATGAAGCTTTTTTTTCCCCACTAAGACAAATACTGTTAACTTGGAGATTTTTACCATCCAAAAGTTCTAGTAATTATGTCAAAATACTTTAAGCACTATAATTAATCAGATGGTTGTTTATTGTCAGAATTTTCCAGGTAGGCACTCTCATCTTGTTTCAACTCCTCCCAAAGTAACCTTAAATTAAGAGATATTAAGGGAATATACTTAAATTCATGCATTAGCTTAACCCTTTTGTACGCCATAGTATATTCTGTATCTTCACCACAAAAAGTGTGCTTCTTTTCTGTTGGAATATAAACACCACTCTAGTTCTCTAAATATGAAAACCTTGGTGGAGACGGGCAGCAAAAACCAAGTTTTTACCTCAGTGTAACAAAATCCAGCTTGGCAAGAGGGTATACCTTTACAAGCTACACTGATGTAAAGACTGATGTCTTAACCACTCAGATTTCACAGCCAGTATCATTAGAGTTTTCAGTACAAAACCAAATATTCTAGCACTTAAATCATATTCAAATAATAGTTGCAGCCTTTCTGCCTTTGATCAGTAAAGCCCAAAACAAATCATGTCTTCATTTTAAGATGTTAACTGCAGCAAGTAATCATTGCTGTCTAATTCTAATTCAATTCCTGAAGGAAAGAGGTGTTTTGTTTCTTTAATATCTGTTCATAGCAGCAGTGATCTCTTCCAAGACACAGATAGTGAATCCATGGACTGTTGGCTACTGCCTCATGTTAAATAGCCATATTGCTATAAAACTGTAAATGGGACTATTTTAAAGCTAACAGTTAATTTTAAGACCACTTGTTCTATCTGGCAAACAAAGAAATGAGGCACTGAAATTCTGTATCACATTTATGATTTTATACTTTAACGATGCAAGTTGATCAGGGTATTTCTCAAACGTATTTGTGAAGATTCTACTAAAACACTATCCTGTGTTTTGCTCAATGAAAATAATGAAAAGTCTCTATGTTGTGATACATGACTTCCCTCAAATCTAGTACTTCAGCAATGTCAGATCAAACCCAGCAAAATCTACGCCTGAATATCTTCCAGTCCCCAGCTGGGTTATTTCTGGTCAGCACTAGTTACTGAACCTGGAGATGTGTTGCTGTTCAAATTGACATTTAAAGTCATTTCAGGCTTTCTCATGCAAGTTTCGCATTCTCCTGCAGTTACATACAACCACTTTGAAGAAAGGATGCACAAATATTTTTCAGCAACATATTCACACAAAAGAAGCTGAACACAGTCCAGATAACACTGTTTTGGATCACCTAATCTAATTCTAGAAACGTGTAGCAATTAAATGAAGAACAGAATCCAGGGCTGCATCAGAAGAAGTGTGACCAGCAGATTGAGGGAGGCGATTCTCCCCTTCTACCCAGCTCTCATGAGACTCCACGTGTAGTACTGAATCCAGCTAAAGAGCCCCCAGCATAAGAAGGGTATCGACCAGTTGGAGCGAGTCCAGAGGAAGCCATGAAGATGCTCAGAGGGCTGGAGCCCCTCTGCTATGGGGACAGGCTGAGAGAGTTGGGCTTGTTCAGCCTGGAGAAGAGAAGGCTCTGGAGAGACCTTATAGCACCTTCCAGTACCTGAAGTGGGCTGGAAAAAAGCTGTGGGGGGACTTTTTACAGGGGTCTGTAGTGACAGGACAAGGGGTAACAGGTTTAAACTGAAAGAGCATGGATTTAGATTAGATACAAAGAAGAAATTCTTCATGGAGAGAGTGGTGAGGCACTGGATCAGGTTGGCCAGAGAAGCTGTGGATGCCCCATCCCTGGAGGTGTTCAAGGCCAGGCTGGCTGAGGCTTAGAGCAGCCTGGTGTAGTGGAAGGTGTCCCTGCCCGTGGCAGGGGGATTGGAACTAGATGATCTTTAAGGCCCCTTCCAACCCAAACCATTCTCTGATTTTACAATTCTATGGTAGAGAATGAATGCTGGAATGTTCTATTCTAACATGTTTATATTAGAACTAATGTTTTAACTTTATAAATCCTGTAGAATTATAAACAGCATAAACTGTTATTTAAAACTTGGCTACTGAAAATGTAATATTTGTTGGAATATACACAGCTCAGGGAAACAGAGAAAGGTGTTCAGAAAAATCATTACTGTCTAAAATATAGCTTATCCTGTATCTATGCATGCCCTGTATGCACTGCCTCCTCCTTGACATGCCATGTACCCTGTCATCAGTAAAATCAAGAACATTTACTATCTTCTAGTCACTGTGTAATTTGAACTAGTCATATTTCAATGTCTGTGCAAGACACCACATTATCATTTATTCAAGCCTGCCAAACATGGGGGGCTGGAAGCATGGAGGTTGGTAATCTTTACATTCAAGGCCAAGTATTTCCCCCATCTGAGGGAAGAAACCCCAGGGTTGACTATTACTGTCTCATACTAAAGGAATTTAAAGATATTGTATTTATTCAAATATAGGATCTTGCTTAACTTTCTCCATGGCAACATACTCTAGATCATTTTGCCGACAAAAACATAATAAACTTCTTGCCAATGCTGTTATAATATACGAATAAACTGAGTTTAGAAAACAGCAGCCAACTCAGCCATTCATGGTCATATTACTCAAGGTGAAGATTATCTTAGCTTAGTGTACAGAGCATTTGGGTCAGCAGCATTTCTCCACCTGTGCAGCACCACACAAATGCCAAGGTACTTCTTCAGGGCTGACGCATTCAAAATTAAGACATTTGTTTTTCAGAACACCAAGCCTAAGCAAAGAAGCCTTGTCAGCATGCAGACATATCTACTGTACCTTCCAGAAACCAGGAACAGAGTGCAATGAAAGGAAATTTCAGTAAGGCAAAGAAGTGTACCCAGCCTACCAGTACAAGAACCACCCAAAAGACATGATGAAGACTCAACTGCCTGTGCTCCTTGCTCTCCATGTTCAACACAGCTGAACCTAGCCAGACCACTTCTACACAGGTCCTGGTGTTACTGAGTATGTGGTTGTGAAAGAGACAGTAAGTGAATTCAGCTCACTTAGGGGTGTTAAAAGTAAACATCATTCTGCCATTCTGTAAAATCTTTTGTTTTACTTGCTCTTCTCTAGCTTCCTAAAACATATTTAGCCTCTAAACTTGTCCCCATGATCCATCAGGACTTTTAGGTTGTGTGTGGTGATGTCCACATACTCAGGTCCAATCTGCCTCTGGCATCACATCCTGCCTAAGAAACTCTTCCTTGCAAGTTCTTAGGAAAGGATATACCAGAAGTCTATGTTAAAAGCTGTCTGTCTGAAAAGCTGAAAGAAAACACTTTCAACTGTAATTGTACTCACCTATACTGTAACAAGTAATTATAACAAGGGAGATCATGCTACTATTTTACAAGTACTGCTACATGTTTAGCAGCAAGGCAAGAAAAAAACCCACAACTTAGTTAAAAGAATTCACATAATGCAGCAGTCTACTCCAGCTCATCTTCAGCAAGTCCGCTTTGTCTTCAACAAGTTGCACTAATATTTTCAGGACTGTGAAAAACAAGCTCCTCCAGTTACTGCACGCAGAAGCGTAAAAAAAGTCACTAGCTGTTCTAATCAGTTTGAGCATCATAATAATTGCACTTATTTGAAGTTGGCAGTGAGGAGTTAATCACCTACAGAACTCTGTTATAGTGACAGTATCATGTGGAAACCATTAAATAATGACTATTAAATCATAACTATATTAGAACAAAACTAAATGTATGTTACTTTTTAATGTTTTTGCAATATATTTTCAGTTAGTGATAGAGCTGATTAAAACACTTCTCTATACTTCTAAATGTTAAACATGATTTTACAAAAAAAAAAAAATAACTGCCGATTTGATTTTTGAGATTTCATATAACTGTTTTCTGAAAAGTTTTAATTATTTTTAGATCCTACCTGAGAGATTCTGCCATCCGCCTTAAGTCTTCATTTTGTTGCTTTAAACGTTCAAGTTTAGCAAGTATCTTAGATAATTCCCGACTAGAGTGATCTGGATGTTCACTGTCTCGTACCAGGTGTCCACCAATATAAAAGAGTAAAGTTCCCCAAGCAAAGAGGATGAGCATAATCCAACGCCAGGAACCAGTCCATGGCCGCATTTTCAGAAGTTCAATTCACTCCAGAACTGCTTCTGCTCACAGAATAACAAACATTTTAAGTCCTTAGCCTGTACAAAAGTGGGCAATTTCAGTTCATCTGCTTCACCACATGGTACCAGAGAAAAAGTATTCTCAGTGTGTATCTTACTGCAACTCCTTAGAGAAGATCCTTATGGGACTGTACATAGAAAGCATTAATATCGCATCATTGTTGGTTTATATTCTGTGAAAAGAATAAAAAAAATCTGAAATTATAATTCTGATATAGAACAATATATTGCATTGCAATTAAACTAAATGTATTGTCATTAAAAGTCAGGACTGATGATAGACAATGTTACTACTTTCTAGCAAGGAAAAAAAGAAAAAAGCTTTTAACTTTCCACAACACTATGCTGAGCTCCAGACTGAAGCCCATAAATAGTATGCAATTAAATCTGGGTTTGCAAAGGCCATAAGAAACACTGCTTTTTATAAAAGAAATATTTAGCAATTCGTGTGTCATTTCACACATCAAAATAGGTCAAAAACCATTCTGTGGTAAACTTAGTCTCCTTTACGATTAACAAAGAGCTTTTATCCAATTACAAATTCACATTCCTTTTTTCCCTTTTATGAACTCTCTTCTCTATTTTTATCATGGCTCCTACTCTGTAATAGAAAAGTGATTGCCATTCTAACAATATATTCTACTATTTGCAAGTAGACTGGCCTGCTAGGAGCAGTAATACCAATTAAGCAAATTGCAAGCACTGTGAAGAGTGTACGTACTAATTTCTGAACAAACCATCTATTGTATATCTTACTCCTAAATTTAGAGCAGCCTTTGAAATGCACATCTAAAATCAAATCCAAAATTTCATTTTGTGCTTAAAATAGCAAGACAACACTACTCTCTTTACCCTAAAACAGATAAGAAGGAAAACTGAGCATTTAAGAGACAGAAAAGAGGGAGATTTCAAGCAGAACCTTTGTGGTAGTACTATACTCACACATTTGAAAATCGGGCATGAATTTAGAAAGCTTTTTTCTTAGAAATATTTTAATTCTGTTTTAAAACTATCAAACCCATTTTGATGGGTGTTATTATTAAAACTATAAAAATGCAACACATGCTCTAAAATAAATTCTGTCTCTCATCTAAAAACACAGCACCATTTTAAAAAAATGCAAAATCACCTCAACTCATTTTCTACCTGGCAAAACATTATTCAGTAACTATAAAAAGCTTATCATTATACCTAGAACAGAATCTAAGATTTAACTGATCAGCACGTCCAAAATCTTCTCAAGTACTTCTCAACTCTCTTCCTCTTTCTCTGCAACGTAACATTTCTATCTTTTGTAAAGGCACATGTATGCAGTTTACTCAGTTTCCAAAATAATCTATATTACCAATTCTTATATCCATAAATCTACCAAGTTTTCTCTCAAATGCTATCCACACCCACCTTCTCCAATTTTTTTCTTTTTTGTTTAATCCTTCTTTCACCTTAACTTCTTAATTTCATTTAGGTTTTTTACTCTGTTCCAACTCATTCCATATTTAGAGAAAAGACTTCCCAACTTGCAATAACTTCCAAACTCACTTAGCCAGGTAGATATGGCTGGAGGACGCACTTCCAGATAAAAAAATTCTAACATACTATTAAAAATGCTGAAAATATTTCTCTAGGTATTTTGCAGAATGGTTTTGATTTGTATATTTTTGAAAGAGGCAGAAAAAAAATCTTCTTAGGACTAGTAAGATGGTACACAAGATAAACTTTGAAAACTGTATATTATTAATGAAACAGAAAACACGGAAAAGCCTGAGAGAGCTTCTCCATCTAACGTACCTGTGACAAGGTGAGTTATAAACAGCTATCTTTGTTTATACCTGTCAAAGATGAGTTTTCTTTCAAAGTAATAACAGAATTCTACATGTCATTTTCCACAGAACTTTAAGAAAGCTTTCTATAGCTTTTGCTTTAGCTTGGCAGAAGTGCAGAACTGCCTTCAGGAAGATAGCAGTTTCTTTAACAATCTTTACAGATAACAGCACAAGGGAAAAAGAACCCACATTACATAAAACAGAATAAGCCATGCCCAACCCAAAGAGGATTATTTCTATAAGCAAAGCAAGCCTAGTTAACTACAGGAATGATTGCACCCTGATAGACTGAAGTTTAAGTGTGAAAGTGTATACTTAAATTTATACTACCAATCACCCAGAAAATGGTTGATTCTGACTGCACTACACTAAGTGAAATCACAAATTCTGTGAAGGCAGAGGAAAGAAAAAAATAATAGGAGAATTCAAATATTCCTCACTATTTAGGTAAATACTATGCTGGGAACTGTGATGAGAATAAGCACATGCTACAGATATCATAAAATTACTGCTTAAGAACAAAGCTACTGTGAAAAACGCTTGACTTAATCATAAGCAGTTTGCAGATCTTGGATCAGAACATTTCTGCTGAAGGACTGCTTTGTAACAGTCTGCATATTATACTGGACATGATATCCTAGGAGCAACAAAGCAAAAAAAATGACTACAGCTGTAATTAATTTCAAGAAGAGGAGCTGTTTTAAGAGAAGTTGACTCCATGCCACCTGGAAAGATATCATGGTCTTAATTAAAACAGCAGGTAAACGTGACTACTATAATTAGCAAAGAAAGTCTGCTTTTAAATACCCACAATCATGATCAAATTATTACACAGGTAAGACTGCAAATTCTGATATGCTAAAAATATTAAAATTAATACTAAACCTTTTATCCAAAGATAGCTTACTAAAGACTTTAGGGTCAACCATCAACCAGAGTGTGTAAGAATTGTTTAGAGTACTTTGCAAAGAAAATACTGACTTTTTTTCAATTTTTGTTTACAACAAAGCCTCCCAAATCATGTAGCTGCTTTATAAAGAGGAAGTGTTGATCTGTATCAAACAGCAGTGTTAGAAGAACAGGCTCTGAAACAAATCTACAAATTAATATAAACAAGTCATGAGGAACAGATTATATAACAGTTCTAAAGAAGTTCAAGAAGGCAATAGTTTAATTATTAACAGCAGTATGTAACTTCTCACTTATAATCACCTTGTAGCAAAGGAATGGAAAATGAAAAGAGTAAACCAAATACTTTGCAAGGGCTACAGCAGGGATCCTGGCAACTGCAGGGCAGAGAAAAAACAACATTCATGTCAGGCAAACTGGCAGAAATAATAATAGGATGAAATAGAGGTGCAGACATAAGGATGAATGTAATCAAAATAAAAGTGTACTAGCAAGACTTCTGGAAGGAGAAATTCTGCCTCATACATTTATTAAAGTTCTCCTGAAGAGGAAAACAAGGACCAGGCAAGAGAGAACAAGTTCTAATTGTATGCAGCTGGTCAGTGTGGATTTCCAAATGGCATTCCACAAGGTCCTCAGAATGTTTCAAAGAAACTAAGCTGCATGGAAGAAGAAAGTTAATCATATGAGTCACCACCTTGTTAAAAGAGAAGAAAATTAGCGTAAGACTAGGCGATCAATTTCTAAGTGGAAAGAATGATGAGGGACCTCGTTGGGACTTGTGGTAAAGTCCAAATAGTTTTAAGATATTCATAAGTGACTTGGAAAACAAGGTGGAAAGTGAGGTAATGAAGTCTGCACCTATAGCACACTAGCTGACAGCAGTGAACTGAAGGACATCAAAACACTGTTTAATGAAGAAATAAAATGAAAGATGAAAAATCACTTTATATCATTGTGTAGAGTTGTGTATAGAAGACCTTTGAATCATTATCCATCAGGAATGGACTTTAGCTGTAATAGGGGATTCTATAAAATATCAGCTCAGCATTGGCCAAAAAGCAACCAAGTCCTCACCAGCCCACACACCCAAGGACCCTCCTCCCACCACCCCTCCACAAAAAAAAAAAAACAAACAAACAAAAAAAAAAAAACCCACAAAAAAACAACAGAAATCATTATCTTTATGTCACAATCTCAAAAATTAGCAGAGAATGACTCTCAGTAATAAACAGTAGCGAAACAGATTAGTAGAAAGGTCAACTCAGGAATTAACCTTGCAAATCTATGAAAGTCATTAATGGTATAGGAAAGTAAACAGGATATAATTGCTGTTACTTCTGGTACTAGGGCATAGAGTAAAACTTTCTGCTTTGAACAGATTTGAAAAAAAGAAGGTATTTCTCAAGATGCGCAATTCCAGCATGAAACTTAATTTGTTCTAACACTGTAGGTGTTACAAGTTTGTATTTCAAAGGCCATTAGACCATTTCAAGGAAGATTTCAATTCATCAAAGCCTACCCAAAAAGATACCACCCAATACTTTCTGAATCTCAAGCCCCTTATTGTTGGAACCTGGAGAATATACCAGGTACTATCACCACAGTATCCTGGTCCTTGCAGTATTTCCTAGACATCCAGTACTAGCCGTTCTCAGAGAAACAGCAGGCTACATAAGCCTTTGATTGGCTATGGTGTGGCAACTTCTAAAACAATATCTAAAATATTAAAAAATAATTATTTTAAATGTTATTAAAGGTTTTGCATTATCAAACACAAGTAGACCACATTTTAAAAGGGCTAACTATCCTACAATAACTTTATAAAAACAAATTTTAGAATTCATTACAATAAAAAAGTTATTTCTTAAGTGTTCAGTTTAAAAGCATAAATAGAAACTCAGA